TTCATTAATAGGTGAATAAAAAACTGTAGTAAATTCATACAATGGAATACGAGCTAACAATATAAGGGAATTGAACTACTGATGCAATCTAAAACAGGGACTATTCTAAAAGTAATTATGACAAATGAAAGCCAGGCAAAAAAGTTAAATACTGTATGATTTTATTTATATAGAACTCTAGAAAATATAAAGCATTTTATGACACAAAATAGGTTTATGTGGCTTAAACTATGGGAGGATCTACAAGACAAGGAATAAGGAAAACTAGGAAACTTTTAGCAGAAGTAGATACATTCCTTGTTGTGAGGAGCCCTGAGATCTGAGATCTCTTGGCTGAGAGATTGGAAGGCCAATCTCTTAGTAAAACTCCCAGAACACTGGGGGCTGGCTGGGGTCCTGGACAAATCACATGGTCCTGGCATAACCCAAAACTCTGGGTCCCTGGGGAGAGACAAAGGCTTTATGCAAGTTGCTGAATTGTTTACTGTTTGCCTCCTCTTCCTAAGATATGGAAGTCACTTATCACTTGTACACAAGAACATGTCACATGTTGGTGCTGTAACTTCAAACTTCAACAATTCTGATATCTTAACTTTCCTCACAAACTCAATAAAAACACTTGGTGGGACCATGAGCATCTGAAGCTGGCAGATTGGTTCAGATTCCCTGGTGCCCAAACTACAGTTGCACAGCCTGGTCTCCTGTTACTGTGCCTCTTTGGTCCCAGGGGACTGCCACACCTTGTCGATAATAATGATAAAACTTAGCAAGTACTAAGATATATCAAGAGTTATTAAGCTGTATGTTAAAAATGTGCAGTGTATTACATGTCAATTATACCCCAGCTCTTAATAACAAATGTTCATTTTTTAGAAGACTTCTAAAAAAGGATAAAAATCTATTGAGATACTAGTATCTGTTTAAAATACACACGTGCTCATGCATGTGTGCACAAACTTCACCAGTTTTTCTAAAAAGACTTAATTATCTCTGAAGGTTGCTGGAGAATCTTATGTCCCAGAGAATTCACTCCTCTTTGAATACTCATTTTTAAAGAGAAATAACTAAGCATTTATTCTGCATTTCCTATCATGTGTACACCTCTGAAGTGGATTAGATACATTGCAGATATTTTTTACAGCTAGTAAATGACAAAATTTTGAACTCCTACTGAATTAATACATTTAATCCTTATATATAAGTGGCTGCTAATTTCATACACACAAAAGCTAATCTTACATTTGTTTTCTGGTAGAAAAACACAACCAGCTATTCTAGCCCAATCAAAAAACTTTAAAAATCAGTTCAAACAAAATCTGAGGAAACATCTAAACCCTAATTACTGGAAACAGAGAAGAGTAAATACATTAGACCTTTGATTTTTCTAAAATATATCTGAGAGACCTATTAAGCAATTAAATCATGAAGACCTAACATGGATCTGAATTGAAAAGTAAAAATTTACATAAACCTAACATGTCTGAGCCCATTATAAATCTGAACACTAGATAGTCAATTAAAAATAAAAGAATTATTTGGCTTTTACATGAGATAACAGCATCATAGTTATATTTGGTTGGTATTGGGGCTTGAACTCTGGGCCTGGGCGCTATCTTTCCGATCTTCAACTCAAGGCTAACACTCTACCACTTGAGCCACAGAGCCACTTCTGGTTTTCTGGGTGGTTTACTGGAGATTGGAAATAAGAGTTTCACGGACTTTTAAGCCAGGGCTGGCTTTGACTCTCCATCCTCAGATCTAAGCCTCCTAAATCGCTAGGATTACAGGCATGAGCCATCGACCCCAGCTTGTATTTGTTTTTAAAACTGTCTGTTAAAGACATATACTAATGTATTTACTGATTACATGCTGTGATTCAGGAATCTGCTTCCACGGAGAAGTCGGAGAACCTAAATTAAATAACATTATCCATAAGTTTATCAGTTTTGAAACTTGATACTGTAAGCATTATGCCCACCTTAGGTCCTCAGCTCCACACAGAACTGAGCTCCTCCCTGCCCTGAAGTTCCTCACATACAGCTGGTCCCTCCATCTCGCCACCCAGACCCACCTGAACTCCCATCTACCTCACTTCTTTCTCCTGTGCCTGCCTGCCTCTGCGTGGTCCCCTGGTATGGATGTGACAGCTCCTTTCAGATACAATATTTCCTTTGTTCTAATTTTAAATAACTTGAATTTTTATAATAAAAATGATTAATTATCCGTTCAATTTGCTTTGAATTTTCTATACAGATAAAAACTCATAAATTTTTATCAACAGTATGTCTACTCAAGACATACTTTATTCTTTTTTAAATAAGGCTACCAAACAGGTATATAACCTCAGTACATTAAAAATTAAACTTCTTAGGGTTGAAGGCCTAGCCCAAGTGGTAGAGGATCAACCAAGCAAGTATGAGGCTGAGATCAAACCCTAGTTCCTCCAAAAAAATAAAATTAGACCTGTTAAATTCTAGATGAGTCATTCTACGTTTTCTCATATACATTCTACCTTGTACCATTCTCAGCACAAGGTAGATAACTATTTTAAACAGTATTACATCTAGAAAACAATATCCAATAGGTCTCAGATAGGCCTAACTAGTGGTCTTCTCAAAAGCCCCAATTTCCTCCAGGAAAAACTTCCCCAAACAACTTAAGAATTAATTGCTTCACTTTCTATTCTTCCTCTAAAACAATATTCTTCTAATTAGGTGTCTATACACTGTCTGATCATTTGGTACCTGTTATTTGGTATGTGACAGGACAGTCATGAAACAACCACAAATGCTTCTTGTTGCTGTCAGTAGCCCATGTGCCTGACTAATTTTATATGGCTCAAGAATGATGTTAGGGGGCTGGGAAGGTGGCTCAGTGGTAGAGCATGCCTGAGGCCCTGGGTTCGATTCCTCAGCACCACATAAGAAAAAAGAAAAAAGCCGGAAGTGGCGCTGTGGCTCAAGTGGTAGAGCGCTAGCCTTGAGCTGAAGAGCTGAGGGACAGCACCCAGGCCCAGAGTTCAGGCCCCATGACCGGACCCCCCCCCTCAAAAAAAAAGAATGATGTTAGAAACATCCACATAACCTTTGGCAGAAAAAAAGATTTCTCAACCCTGCTTATCTCAAAGAGTTTAAATCTTTATCTTTAAATTCCCATAGTTGATTGTTTACATGTTGCCTAAATGCAGTTTCTCCTTTGACTTGATAAATTTCTAAAAGAATATACAATATTGGGCTAGGAATGTGGCTTGGTGATAGAGTGCTTGCCTAGCATTCTTGAAGTCTTGGGTTCCATTCCTCAGCACCCCATAAACAGAAAAAGCCAGAAGTGGCACTGTGGCACAAGTGGTATAGTACCAACCTTGAGCAAAAGAAGCTAAGGGACAGTGCCCAGGCCCCAGGCCCCAGACCCTAAGTTCAAGCCCAGGACTGGCAATAAATAAATCAATCCTTCGTACCATGGATATTGGATATCCAGTTGTTGAGGATAGAGTACAGTTAACTACATGTCTGTATTTATAACACATTGACAGTAGAGCTAAGCAGCCATAACTTAAAATAGCACAAAGTAAACTACACTGCTGTCACAAAATTATCATTGTATACATTAATACTGCCCACCAAAACCTAAATTTTATTTCATGCTATTTATATAATTCTGTAGATGTTTCAGTCATTTAATGACATGCTACCTTTCAACCATCTAAACTTTTCACTTTAAATCACTTAATTAATTTACTTTTACTTTGTTTGGGGCACCATTTGTTTCTGGGAAGACAAAATTAAGGGCAGAAAACACTCAGTAGATCACAAATGATTTGAACACATCTGACTATAACATGGAAAGACTGAGATCTTCAAGCCAGGCAGTAAGTCGCTCACACCTGTAATCCTAGCTACTCAGGAAGCTGAGATCTGAGGATCGCAGTTCAATGCCAGCTCAGGCAGGAAAGTCTGTGAGACTTTTCTCTTCAACAAACTACCAAATAAACAAGAAGTGGAGCTTCTCAAGTGGTAGAACTCTACCCTTGAGCAAAAACAAGCTCAGAGAGAACACCCAGGACCTGAGTTTAAGCCCCCAAGACCAGCACCAAAAAAAGAAGAATTGAAAGCTTCAGAACGAAGCTATATAATGTGGGAATTTAAAGTTTTGGGGCCTGAAATTTGAGTTTTTCATTATATTACTGTGTTTGGTCAAAGCTGTGTGCAATAAATCCATAAATAAGGTAGGCTTTCTGTATTTTATACTTAAGAGTTAGTTCTAAGCCCCACAACCAACAACAAAAAATAAGAGTTTTCTACGGGCTGGGAAGGTGGCTCAGTGGTAGAGCACATGCCTTGCATGCCAGAGGCCCTGGGTTCGATTCCTCAGCAACACATAGGCAAAAAGAAAAAAGACAGAAGTGGCGCTGTGGCTCAAGTGGTAGAGCGCTAGCCTTGATCTGAAGAGCTGAGGGACAGCGCCCAGGCCCAGAGTTCAGGCCCCATGACCGGACCCCCCCCCAAAAAAAAAGTTTTCTAAGCCCCACAACCAACAACAAAAAAAAGTTTTTATCTAGATTTAAAAGAAGCAGATTCAGTGGGAGTGAATGGCAACTGATCTAGTTGCATTCTCACATTTCTACAACGTATAAAAGCAAGGATTATGAGCCTTCAATGTCAACAGAACCAAAACAGAAACATGGGAGGAAATTAAATCTTAAGAGTTCAAGAAGAAAAATATTCTCATCCTGTTTCTTATACAAATTCATCTGGTTTATTCATCTACATTGTAGATATGCATATTTTAACTTATGAGACAATTCCTCTCATTACATAATAAAACACCCACTTACTGAGAAAAATCCAAAGAGAACAGTAAGTGCTCTCTTCAGAGACAAGGGATCCTGCAAATGAGCCAAGGAAGCCTTTCTATATCTATTTTTCAAATGTTTCTGCATCATCATATTCCATGTTACACTATTTATGAAACTTTAATTATGAAATTAATATTATTCTTACCAGATTTAAGACCTGAAATTTTGAAGATGGCACTTGGTTTCCCATTCGTGACAAATCCTAGGAGTTGCCATACTGGCATTCCATTTGAATCAGGATAGGAAAAGTAGACAGATCCTCCCATTCCCTCAGGAAATGGAATTGTTCCCAACATAAAAACCACAACATGGTTGATACTTTCATAATCAGGCAAGTCAAAAACAAATTTATCCTCTGCCACTTGCTGTGCAGCTGTTTGCACCTAGAAAATAAGAAACTCGTCTTAGTTCAACCATTTGATGAGCTCCTATAACCCTAATATCACTCACTATAAACTACGTCACCAGCCTGGTTGATCATGGTCATTACAGCAAAGATAATGTTAACATTATAGTCCCATTATAAAACTACCAAATATGCCAGAAAAGTGTTTCCTTTATTAGAGACTCTAAAAACTCACATTTAGCCTTAAAATGATTACTTAATAAATGCAATCTTGGGGCTGGGAAGGTGGCTCAGTGGTAGAGCGCTTGCCTTGCATGCCTGAGGACCTGTGTTTGATTCCTCAGCACCACATAAGCAAAAAGAAAAAAGCCAGAAGTGGCTCTGTGGCTCAAGTGGTAGAGTGTTAGCCTTGAGCTGAAGAGCTGAGGGACAGCACCCAGGCCCAGAGTTCAGGCCCCACGACCGGACCCAAAAATAAATAAATAAATAAACAAATAAATAAATGCGATCTTTTCAAAATGGTTACTCCTTTCAGAAGTACCATGAAAACCTTTTTCTTAAATTAACTACAGCTTAAGAATGTTAAAAAATGAAAGTTGTTAAAATTACCACATTACCAAGCTCTTATCCTCCTGTTTGAAAATACAGTATTTGAGCCAGCGCTGGTGGCTCACTGTAATCCTAGCTACTCAGGAGGTTGAGATCTGAGGATCGAGGTTCAAAGCCAGCCTGGACAGGAAAGTCCCTGAGACTCTTATCTCCAATTAAAACCCAGAAAACTGGAAGTTGTACTGTGGCACAACATGGTAGAGTGCTAGACTTGAGCTGAAAAGCTCAAGGACAACGTCCAGGCCTAGAATTCAAGCGCCATAGCACAATGAAAATACAGCATTTGGGATAATTAAAATAGGTAAGCAGACCAGGCACGTCTGTATTGCTAGATACTTGTGAGGCTGAGAACAGAGGGATGACAGTTTGAGATCAATGTAGGCAAGAAAAGTCTGTGAGAGCCCCTTCTCAACTATTTGCGTGCAGTGGCTCACAAAATGTCATGAGAAGGTAAGACTGAGACTGAGAGAATGCAGGTGGTGGGCCAGCTTGGAGAGATGGAGAAAAGCTGGGTGAGATGACATATGCCTGTGAGCCCATGTAACAATAGAAGACCTAAAATCAACTAACTTTGTTACAGTAGGAAGCAAGATTCTATGCTAAACATAACCAGAAAATAAGAATGGAGGTATAGCTCATCAGTATAGCACAAGGTTAGAAAATGTGACACTCTTGATTTCAAAATCCCTAATACCAGTAAAGAATAAAACAGATAAGCAATCTAGAATTAATTAGTTTGCAAGTTCTTGAAGATATCATATTAACAAGTTCAGCTACTCACAAAATTTGTAACACAAAACAATACAATAAATGACTTCTGCAATCACTTGTGGATGACAGAGCCAAAAATTCTGAGTTGGTGGACTCACATTCCCAGCTAGGATGAAAAAGGTTATGCTGTGCCTTCTAATTTCAGTCCACATGCTTTGAATGAGTGTCTTCTTTAGTCTATTTAATGCCACATTCTACATTTTATACTTCTTTGTGGGTTTCCAATTTAAAACAGCCCAGATTTATAAAGTGTTAGCTAGAATTTCAAACTGTAAAAACACTATAAAATGCTTTATAGAGAAAATACAGTTTTGAGCCAGGCACCTGTGGCTCATGCTTGTAAACCTAGCTATTCAGGAGGCTGAGATCTGAGACTCACAGTTCAAAGCCAGCCCAGACAGGAAAGTCTGTGAGACTCTTCCAATAAACCACCAGGAAACAGGGAGTGGTGCTATGGCTCAAGTGGTAGAGCACTAGCTTTGAGCTAAAGAGCTGAAGGACAGCACCCAGGCCCAGAGTTCAAGCCCCATGACCAACAAAAACAACAACAAAAAACCTAAGTTTTCCTCAGGCATGAGTTATAAAGAAGTTGAGACAGAAGTTCAATATTGATTAATCAACAATATCTATTATTAAATACATCTTTGAACAGAAAAGCTTAAAGTTATGATGTTCAAAAATTCTACCATGCTCAGACTGATATCTGAGGATCATGGTTCAAAGCCAGGCTAGGCAGGAAAGTCTATGAGACTCTCCAATTAACTACCAAAAAAAAGCAGGAATTGGTGCTGTGGCTCAAAGTCTTAGAGCACTAGCCTTGAGGAAAACAAACTCAGGGAAAGCAAGCACTCAGGCCCTGAGTTCAAGCCCAAGACTAGCACCAAAAAAAAAAAAACAAAGAAAAAAAAAGACAAGATAGGAAGGGAAGGAAGGAAGGAAGGAAGGAAGGAAGCAAGGAAGGAAGGGAGGGAGGGAGGGAGGAAGGGAGGGAGGGATGGAAATGCAGTCGTTTCAAGATGTTCTTAGGTCATTTTGCCCTTCATTATACTACAGAATTTAAGTACAAAAAAAAAAAAGAATTTAAGTACCAAAGACCCACCCTCCAACTCCCCCACAAAAAGTCTTTTCTTGGAGAAGCGACTAGATAAATAGAAATGAAATATCTATTTATCAGAAATGAAATTTGGTGTTCATGGCAGGTGATGCTGCTCAGTTGGTAAAGCACTTGCCTACCACACAGGAGGATCTGGGCTCAGTGTTCAATCCCAGGAGGGATTGGGAATCCCCAGGGGAGGGAAAGGGAAGAAGGAAGAGGGAAGAGAGGAGAGAGAGAGAAAGAGGAGAGGGGAAGAAAAGGGAGAGAGAAGAGAAGGGGGAGATAATCAGCTTTGAGTAAATACACACATATATTCATATAGCTTTTTTCTTTTAAAACATGCATTTTTAATATCATCTACTAATTAAACTCATCTGAGTCCCATGCCAGTTCCAAATTGGTCCCTTCATTCTCTCTATCCACAACAGGAGCAATCCAAAATCTCCCTAGGGTTACCAACTACCCTCACCCCTATGGGGGCTTTCTGCCATTCAAAAGACAAACTGAGTTGAACTAGAGGTGCTTGCACAGGATACATTACCAAAAGCTAACTTTAAAAAAATTAATAAAAAGGCTCTAATATTTAATAAAGTAGGGACAAAGCAGAAAGGAAAAGAACTCTAAGTGAAAGGAGTCAGGTTTAAAAACATTATCTCTGTAAGGTTAGTTTCTAAAGAAACAAGATCTTTTCCCCCACCCCCAGATTATTCCTTAACAATTTCAGGTGCCGATCTCATTTACAAAATCTGTCAAGAGAGTTAACCTCTTCTGCCCAATAAGAAACATTTGGCTCACACCTAAATTTAGGGCATTACAAGTAGCAAACTTTGAAATAAGCTAAGCACGGTTTTTACTACGGACCTTCCTTCCAAAGGAACCCAAGCAACCTCAATCTCGGAGAAAGTTAGCTGCACACAAAAATCCCAGGTTTACTTCTAACTTAGGTTACGAGTTTGGACCAGTACTGACACTTAAGCTCAGGATTAAATTCCTCAGCTTCAGAATTGGAATAGTGACCATCACGGAAGTCATTTGGCTCAACTGCCAATTGGTCGCCTCACAAAAGGCAGATACAACGAGAGAGACAGGGTGCACGGCGCTCAGACCTACAGGGTGACTGCTATTCAAATACGAATAGGGACCCGGCACCCCGCGTCCACCTCACACACCCGAGTGCACCCCGCGTCCACCTCACACACCAAGCGTCCACCCGCCACCTCACACACCCGAGTGCACCCCGCGTCCACCTCACACACCCGAGCGTGCACCCCGCGTCCACCTCACACACCGAGCGTGCACCCCGCGTCCACCTCACACACCCGAGCGTGCATCCCGCGTCCACCTCACACAACCGAGTGCATCCCGCCACCTCAAACACCCGAGTGTACCCCGCGTCCACCTCACATACCCAAGCGTGCACCCCGCGTCCACCTCACACACACGAGTGCGCCCCGCGTCCACCTCACACACCCGAGTGCGCCCCGCGTCCACCTCACACACCCGAGCGTGCACCCCGCCACCTCACACACCCGAGTGCGCCCCACGTCCACCTCACACACCCGAGTGCGCCCCACGTCCACCTCACACACCCGAGCGTGCACCCCGCCACCTCACACCCCCCTGAGTGCGCCCCGCGTCCACCTCACACACCCGAGTACACCCCGCGTCCACCTCACACACCCGAGTGCGCCCCGCGTCCACCTCACACACCCGAGCGTGCACCCCGCCACTCACACCTGAGTGCACCCTACTACCTCACACACCCGAGTGCGCCCCGCGTCCACCTCACACACCTAGCACCCCAGTCCCACTTCACACACCCGGCATCCCGCTCGGCCCTACAGGGGGTGACTGCTATTCAAACACCAAGAGTAGGGCGCCCGGCTTCCCGCGCCCACCTCACACCCCCAAGCTTGCACCACAGACCACGCGCGAGTTCGCCCGCGCCTCGCACCGGCGCCCCGCCCCAAATCCTCCCAGGCCCGTTCCCGAGGCATCCCGCCCCGTCCTCACCAGCCTCCCCGCCACCAGGCAGCCAAACATGGCGGCAGCGGCGGCTCGGCTCAGCCGGCAGAGCCCTGAACAAGAGAATAGGAATCCAGCGGCTACAGTCGTAATGGAGCCCAAGAGCCTTCTAGAATTTGCCAGAGGAAGCCGGTCCCACCATTACATAGCGACAGGGACAGAGGCAAGGAACGCCTTCTGCCCCCACGACCTCTGACCCTCCCTTCACTAGCGCGCCCCTCAGGAATGAGCACTTCCGGGCCTTACCCCCGCTTCTTCCTTCTAAGGGGAAAAAGTGAGCCAGGACCAGTAGGAGACTACAAGTCCCATGGTGCACTGCGAAGACTTTCGGGAAGGAAAAGCCCGGCCAATTTGAAAGTTGTGATTGGCTAACCAATGTTCTCTGTCCTCTGACAGTAGGAATCCAAAGTTTCTAGTGTGGTGCTGGAGAAAGGTGTTTCTAAAATTCCTGTGCGCAGTGGCATGCTTTTACAATAATCGCCTCACGACATCCTTACAAAACCCCCAGGAGATAAGAATAGTAATCTCCGTTTCATAGCTTAGGAAGTTGAGTTTCGGTATGATCAGCCCCCAATCTTTACACAACAGTACATACGGGGTCTGAGTTTCAAGTCCTACCCCAACTAAGGGGTACTTTTTGTAATGTCTCACGTGCACTAATTTTTAGCAGGTTTTGGATTTGTTTACAATGCCGTTCTAGCTCTTTCCACTTACTATCCCCAGGAATTTACTGTACAACTATGTGCAACATATAACTACTTTGTGCCACTGTGGACCCCTTTGTAAAGTAAGAACAGCGATTGTGCCTATCTCGTACGGTTGCTGGGAGGATTAACACTGAGAATATACGTACTGCCTGGCAGTGGTTAGTTTTATTGTAAAATTTCCGTTTTGTGGTTTTTTTTTCCCCTATTGCATTTGCAGGAAAGATTAATAGGAAATACAAAACAATAGCCAAGGTAAGTGGCACCAAGTTCTTATTGCTACCAGTACTCATTCTTTCATGACTTCAATTCCCTTTCCTTTGGGGATGGGAGATAGTATGAGGTCTTTACACAACTTGAAATATCTGCACTTGGTTACTAGTCATAAACACATCTGTATTCCCAGCCCAGGTTATTATATATGAAGCATCAGTCCCGGGCCTACCTGGTAAACTGACTACCTATTTTTATCTCAGATGATACTTTGCTATAGCTGAGCCAAAATGAAATGGTACGTAAAGCTCTACCAGTACCTCCAACTCTTTACCTAAGGAGTTCCAGAATAGAAAGATCATTCATTCATAATGGCACTCTTTCATAAGTGGCAGTCACATTGCCTGGACTCAGAGCTCATTTCTGCCATTTAGACTAGTTAGCCTAACACTCCTGTGCTTCCTTTGCTTCATCTTGAAAAATGGGTTATTGTATTCACCTAAATAAGGTTGAGTTTTTACATGGGAAGTACTACATAGTGGCCAAATTATAGCTTAGAAATTGTGTTTACCATTATTTTTCCTAATTGTCCACATCTACTGCATACCCACCTTCTGCCCTGAGCATGTATTTTATTCTCACACTTTTCAACTTTTATGTGTTTATGCAACTTGTTTTATCTGCCCTTGGTAGTTTCTTACACATCCTCAATTTTCCTCATGAATCTTTCTGTGATTCAACTAATAATTCTTTCCTTCTATGCTAATTTTAGTGGCTTAAGCCACTAGCCACTAGCTGGCTAGTTTAAAAAATTTCCTAATAAACTACATTTGCTGTTTATTAATTGTGCCAGTCTTTATTATGTGGGACTTGAGCTTTTCTCATTTTACTGGCGAACTAAGTTATAGATTGGACAAAGAATTAGAGGAAGCAATTTTAGTGCCCCTTTTCCAAACTTGAAATCCAGTGTCCAATCCAACAAACTATAGTTTCCAAAACTAGGAAAGAAAAAAAAAAGTTTTTAAGAGGGGCTGGGAATATGGCTTAGTGATAGAGTGCTTGCCAAGCATGCATGAAAGCTTGGGTTCAATTCCTCAGTACCACATAAATAGAAAAAGCTGGAGGTGGCACTGTAGCTCAAGTGGTAAAACACTCACCTTGAGCAAAAGAAGCTCAGGGACAATGCCCAGGCCCTGAGTTCAAGCGCCAGGACTGGCAAAAAAAAAAAAATGTCTTTACGAAAAAATATATATCTCATGATGAGAGCTCTTTAAAATAGCAGACATGAGAGAGATTGGACCTTCCATTTGCAGTGCATGTTAACCACTACTAAAAGCCATAGTTTTTGGTCCTTAAGGATACTTCCAGCCTCTGAAACACATGATTCAATGAAACAAGTTCATTTAATTTTGGCCAGAGAATCCAAAATTCCAAATTCTGACTTAAGCTTTCTTATTACTCTAGCAATTATATCACATATTTCATTTTTTGGGGCATTAGGTTTTGCTCTACTTAATTGAGGTGATATTTGAATACAGCAGAAATATTTCACCTTTTCTAGAAATTTCTCCTTTTCCAAAACAAAGAAGAAATAGACATAGAAATTCCATCTTCTTTGAACTAGAATAGAATTGTCACTCCAAATGACAAGATATCCATGAAAATTGTTAAAATGGAAAATTATTTAGCACAGCAGAGGAAGATGAAATTTAGTTACCAAAAGAGAAAGATCACAGGGCTAGGAAGGTAGATCAGTGGTAGTGCTTGCCTTGCATGCATGAGGCTCTGGGTTCGATTCCTCAGCACCACATAAGCAGAAAAAGCTGGAAGTGATGCTATGGCTCAAGTGGTAGAGCACTAGCCTTGAACTGAAGAGCTGAGGGACAGTGCCCAGTCACGCTCCATGACCGGTTAAAAAAAAAAAGATGGGCTCAGTGGTAGAGAGCTTGTCTTGCATGCATGAGGCCCTGGGTTTGATTCCTCAGCACCACAAAAGCAGAAAAACGCCAGAAGTGGTGCTGTGGCTCAAGTGGTAGAGTGCTAGCCTTGAGCTGAAGAGCTGAGGGACAGTGTCCAAGCCCAGAGTTCAGGCCCCAGGACCAGACCCCCTCCCCCAAAAAGAGAGAGAGAGAGAGAGAGAGAGATCACTATCAAAGAAGCTCCAGAAATGGAGATACCAGTGGCCTCAGAAGACAAGTATGAAACTGAAGACAGAAGAGATTGTTAAAATCAGTACATGTTTTTTTGTATCACTCTCATACATACTTTGCTAGAGCTAACTGTTATGAAATCTCTAGGAGAAAAAGTGGACTAGATATGCTATACACTAAGAAAATAGCTGTTATATAACAATGGTTGTGGGACAAGGCCACCATTATATACATTAGGCCTTGAATAAGAGGACCATGATGAGAGACAAGCACATGGTTTGGCAAGTTAAACTTGACAATGTAGGGGCTGGGAAGGTGGCTCAGTGGTAGAATGCTTGCCTTGCATGCATAAGGCCCTGGGTTTGATTCCTCAGCACCACATAAGCAGAAAAAGCTGGAAGTGGGGCTGAGGCTCAAGTGGTAGAGCGCTAGTCTACAGCTGAAGAGCTAAGGGACAGCACCCAGGCCCAGAGTTCAGGCCCCACGACCGACAAAAGAAAAAAAAAAAGAAACCACAAAACTTGACAATGTAGGCCTTGTCCACCCAAAGAGTGATTTTTTTTCTAACATATCTATGTGGAATATGGGGCTAAGCCTTCTCTATGATCCTTTCAAACAGGGATCTCTTTTTTTTTTAATATCAACTATAAAGGATATGGATAACTTTTTTAAACCCAACACTCACTCATAATTAAAAAAAAAGAATTGCCGGGCGCTGGTGGCTCACGCCTGTAATCCTAGCTACTCAGGAGGCTGAGATCTGAGGATCGGGGTTCAAAGCCAGCCCAGGCAGGAGAGATCGTGAGACTCCTATCTCCAATAAACCACTAGAAAACCGGAAGTGGCGCTGTAGCTCAAGTGGTAGAGCGCTCCCCTTGAGCTGAGGGACAGTGCCCAGGCCCAGAGTTCAAGCCCCACGGCCGACCAAAAAAAAAGAATCAACAGAGTCTGGGATGTGGCTCACGGTAGAGCACTTGCATAGCAGGTACAAGGACCCTGGGTTTTACCACTAGCATTGAAAAGAGAGAAAAAGATGAACTTCCTCAACCTGTTAACAGGAACATATACAAAAACCACAGCTAAGATCATACTTAGAAAGGCTGTATGTTTTCTTTCTTAAGATCAGGAAGGAAACAAAGATGTCTGCTTTAGCCATTTCTAGTCAATGAAACTTCAAACCAAAAAGAGAAAAACTAGTAATATCAGTAAAGTTGATGAGTGTGAAAGCAGAATGCAAGCCAATCCTAATTCTATACTTAAATAAAAAATGAAATTAAGAAGATAATTCTATTTACAGTAGTATCAAAAAGAGTAATATACTTAGGAATTTAGCAAAGAAAATTTTATGCTGAAAACTATCAATGGAGTTGTAAGAAATTAAAAAGACAAATGGGAAAATAACCCATGATCATGTAAAGATGGCATTGGTTCAGTTTATACTTGCACAGCTAAGCAACTGTGTGCACCTAGCTTATATTCATAGAAATTGACAACCTGCTTAAATTTACAAGCAATTGCAAAGGATTCAGAAAATCCAAAACTATTTTGGGGGAAATTTCAAAACTACTACAAACAGTAATCAAACCAATATGATATTGACACAGGGGTAGTAGATATATAGATGAACAGAATAAAAGTGAGAGTCAAACAACATTTCTTTGGCCAATGATTTTACAAGAGTGCCAAGACCATTAAGTGAAGAAATATAAAAATGCAGAATAGTTTTCAACCAATGAGGCTGGGACAACTGAATAGTCACCTATAAATGAACAAACTTGCAACCTTACTTCACACTACATATAAAAATCAACTCAAGGTGAGAAAAAGTTGATCAGTGGGTACAAAGTTATGGTTAGACAGGAAAGATAAGTTCAAGTGTTCCATTAGACAGCATGGCATAGTTCCAAAAACCGAGATGACAACATCTTAGGTGTTTTCACCATTTAAAAAAATGAGAGGGCTGCAACATAGGTCCCATGGTTTCCCTTATTTGCAATATCTAGTATATGTATGAGTCAAGCGGAAAAGGTCAGATAATGTGATGTCAGGAAAATGAA